CCGGTTGGCACCAACTCGCCTCCACCTTCCTCCAGCCTCTCCTGGGGTCCCTGGCAACCGCTGAGGGAGAGCTCCCAGCTCCCGTCCCTCTCCTTCGGCTGTCTCCCTCCAAGGAGCTCCTGCCTCCCCTGCAGTCAGCCCTCCTCTGGCCTTCCATAAGCAACCTGTGCTTCTCTATTTATACAGGCCAGCAGGGCCTCCCCTTCCCTGATTCCCCCACCCCTGCTATGGATTTGGTGCTCCTCTCCCGGCAACCAACCCAGGCAGCATTCCCAGGAGCCTTGTGCTCAGCAGCCTCCCGGCAACCAACCCAGGCAGCATTCCCGGGAGCCTTTTGCTCAGCAGCCCTGCTTATAGGGGCCATCCTGGCCCTGATTGGCTGCTCCACTAAGCCTTCTCCCTACAGCTTAGCTCAATAAGCCCTTGTCAGGGGGTTCACACCCAAAGCCCTCTTCTGATTGGTTTGTGTGCCGCCTCCCCGAGGCACCTTAACCCCACTTCCACTAGTGTGGTTCAGCCGCACCACCACAAAACCTTGTCAGGACATACACATTTTTTGAATCCTACTGAAAGGCACATAAGTAGACTTGCCCCCATTCAGAGATCGGCAAGCAGAGGCAGAAAAATGTAAGGCCCGTTTTTTACATAGGTCTATAGGCTTGCTGAATCCGTGAATGCTTTCGAAAATGTTGCCTCTGGACAGACCCCTTCAACGGGTTCGTTTCTGCTTTGCAGAGAAGCAACCAAATAAGTAAAGGAGATCAGACGTTGGTGGTCACTTGCTGAGCTTCTCTGGTCATCATGGGTGTGTCTACATGGCACCATTATTTTGGGAGAACTAGCGTTATTTTGAAATAACAACGTGAGCATCTGCACAGCCATGCTGTTATTTTGAAATAATAACAGCTGGCTTAATCTGAAATCTGTAAAACTCATTCTATGAGGAATAATGCCTGTTCTGAAAGAGCTATTTAGAAATAAGGTGTGCGTAGATGCTCCACATGTGTCCTCCAAAAACTATGCGCCTATCTGTCCTATTTTGGGAAATGACACAGTAAGAGAAAGACACAGAATTTATCACAGTCTTAGATAGATAGATAGATAGATAGATAGATAGATAGATAGATAGATAGATAGATAGATAGATAGATAGATAGATAGATAGATAGATAGATAGGGTGGATGGATTTTTAGGATTTTTCAAGAATTACATTTCCATGGACATCTTTCCCATCTCAGACCACTGCCCGTCCCCTCCACCCCCAACTGTGGCTGTGGGATTCTGGTGCAGAGGAGTTCAGAAAGAGAAGAGACTATGGGTGTGTCTAGACTACTGAGTTTTGTCGACAAAAGTGGACTTTTGTCGACAAAACTATACCTGCGTCTACACTACCACTGAGTTCTGTCGACATAACGTCGACAGAACTCAGCAGTTTTGTCGACGCTGGTAAACCTCATTTTACGAGGCATAACGCCTTTTGTCAACAGAGTTCTGTCGACAGAAGGTGTTATTGCCTGTAGGGTTGCGTCTAGACTACAGAACTGAATGTGTCTAGACGCTCTATGTCGACAGAAGTTTTGTCGACAGTATCTGTTGACAAAACTTCCGTCAACAAAACCCTGTAGTCTAGACGTACCCTATCATGCATCATGGGGGAAGGAGTCCAGCCTGGGAAACAGGCCCATTGTAGACAATATTGGGCTCTGGTAACTGAGGCACCACTGTTGTATTTCTGAGGGGATCTATTGTGTTTTCAGACAAAAGCTTTCAGTCTCCACAAACAAAGCCTTTGCTGCTCAGCTCGACACAGTCCCAAGGCTGAACTTTGAAAACAGGAAGATGAAATAGACGCCCTGTTGTACTGTGTAACTCTGGTAGAAATTGCATCATTTAGTAACACAGGAGGAAATAGTGCGCTAAATTAATCCCCAGGAATGAGTTTCACCCGGGTTGAGTTTGCATCACTCAGTAGCTTAATTAGGTGTTGTGCCTCTTGAGATCAGTTATTCCCAGTTACTTCAGGGAGCATGTCCCATGGATCACAGCTCTGGGTATAAAGTTTCCTGAATACTCAAAACTGGCACTTTCTTTCGATAGGGAAACACCACATCTCTCTCCTCAAAAGGTACGTGCTATTGTCTTGCATCACAGTCACACACACATACAGACAGCAGGGCCGTATAGCAGCTACTGAATTCACGACACACAGCACTAAAAATCTCAGCCCACCCTTAGCTATAGAAATAAACCATGTGATTGTAAAAATAGGCAATTACGTAGTCCCTGAAACCTCCGGTTTCCACTATTTCTCAGGATTTTCTTACAGAGCACTGAATGAAAATGCAATTTCAGATGCAAATAAGCTTTATTAGCAGAGCACGCAAGCTTTTCCCCAAACAGAGAAGCCCAGCCACAGAGCTCCCCATTCCCAAAGAGGGGAGAGACATTGACTCTTGTTTACTTTCACTCCTTCTTGAGCGAATCAGATCACACTGGGATATTTTTCATCCAGATTCTCCCTCAGCAGAGTAAGAAATCTCTGTTTGCTGCTGAGATCAGTGAAGAGGAATGTTTGTGTGTATATGTCATGATTAACCTGCGTGTTCTTGTATGTTTACCGTGTGTGCATTGTATGGAACAATTGTAATGACCAGCTGTGAACATCTAGTCCTGAAAAGTAAGTCCATACCTAATTTTATACAGGTGTCCATTGAAAAACTGATCACCACTTTTCTTCACTTACTTCATTACAGTGAAGGGACAGATTCTGTGAACCAGTCCACACACCCACATCACTGTAGCTACCTGATCTCAGCAATGAGGAGATGGAAGAGGGAAATCACTCGGTGGTGACTGAGTTCATTCTCTCAGGACTGACAGATCATCCAGAGCTCCAGGTCCCCCTCTTTGTGTTCTTCCTACTGATTTATGTTACTACTCTGATCTGTAATGGGGGGATGATCTTGTTAATCACAATTGACCCACAACTGCACACCCCCATGTACATTTTCCTCAGGACTTTGTCTTTTTCTGATTTCTGCTGTTCCACAGTAATCGCCCCTAAGATGCTGCAGATTTTCTTAGCTGAGAGGAAAAGCATTTCGTACACTGCCTGTGCTGTGCAAATGTATTTTTTTCTCGTTTGTGTAGATATTGAGTGTCTCTTGCTGGCTGTGATGGCGTACGACCGTTATGTGGCCATCTGTAACCCACTGCTCTATAGTGTCACCATGTCCAGGCAGCGGTGTAACTTGCTGATGGCTGGGGTGTTTGCTGTGGGGTTGGTGGATGCGTTGATACTCACATGTTGTACATTTCGGCTGTCATTCTGCCGCTCCAACATCATCAGTCATTTCTTCTGTTGCATCTCCTCATTGTTGCCACTCTCCTGCTCTGACACCCGCATCAATGAGATTGTGATGTTTGCTTCTACATGCTACACTGTGGTGATCACGACTGTGATTATCCTTCTCTCCTATGTCTGTATCATCTCCGCCATTCTGCAGATCAACTCTTCCGAGGGCCGGCGAAAATCCTTCTTCACCTGCACCTCTCATTTGACTGCAGTGGGCATGTTTCATGGCACCCTTATTATTATGTCTTTCCAGCCCAGCTCCAACTATTCCATGGACTCTGACAAAATAACCTCCGTGTTCTACACGCTGGTAATTCCTATGTTGAACCCCCTCATCTACAGTCTGAGGAACAGGCAGGTGAAGGGTGCTGTAAGGAAAACAATGAATAAACTCCTAAAGAATTCCTGAATTTGTTCATCCCAGTGCAGGTTGAGTGATTGGGAGTGGAATTAGGAGAATTTAATTCCTAACTCATTGTAATGTCGTCTAGTAGAGCTTACGGTAATATAATTGATGTTATTATTTGTTTGTATTCCAAAAAAACGTTCTTCCTTAATTGAGATCAGGCCTTTGAAACAGGTACCTCCTTTTACTGGAATAATAGCATAACAATTGTGTGAGTGTGTAAATATATGTCACTTGCTTTGAATCCATGGATCAATTTGTATGTGCAATGGCTTCAGACATCTCTCTTCTTTGTAACTGGGTTTGTTTCTTTGTCGGTGGCTTGGTTTCATTAGGATGTGTGTCATTTCTACGGCTCAAGGAAAGGGAGTTGTTGCAGTGTTTGTCTCCTAGTTTGTGTCCATGCATTATGAGGAAAATCATGTTTGTCACGATGTCCTTCACGTCATCTTAAGGGAACAAAAATAAATAAATAAATAGGATCCTGGTGTCGAAGAGAAAGCACGGTGTGTGTGCATCCTCCGTGACAGTCTCCTCTGAACAAAATACAAAATAGCACAAAAAGTGTGAATTTTGTTTACAACTTAAAAAAAGCCACAGAGATAAAATCAGATGCTAGACATTTATACCTCATCAGCAGGTTAGCTATGCTTTTTTCCTCTTAGTTCAATGGGGATATATTATAGACGGTGGAGGGTAGCAGTTCTGGGAATTGTATGGCTCTGGGGATTGTGAGTGAGAAATGGATGACGCTGCATGCATAAATCTTTTCTTTTTTTTAGTTGACGGCTGCTTAGAAAATATTCATCTCAATCCAATCCTTATTTGAATATTCCCTAAACATTGAGAAAATTGAAATGTCTTTTTAGAAATATAACATATCTGTTGGTGGATCATTAAAGTTTATAGTGCCTTACTTGACCCTCATCAAGATATACCTTTGAGCACCTCAGAATCTTTATTGTTTTGATTGTCATAACTTCCATGTCACGTAGCACAATATTATCTCCATTACACAGATGATGAGCTGAGGCACTAAACATCCTGCTAGAAGATCACACAAGAGGTCTGCTGTAAAGTCAGGAACTAAGCCCCAAATTACAGAGTTCTAAGCTAATGATCTACCTAAACCTAGATGCTCTTTCCTTCTCTTTTACCCCCACACAAACTGCCTGTAACACCTCTAGCCTGCAGCTCCTCTGAACCCAACAGTCTCGGACAGGACATCATGGGCCACCCCAAGGCTACACCCCAAGGGCTCTAGACCAGCCTGGGGGTAGCAGGTCCTGGGTACCTCCTGTCCCCAGTTTGGTTTTCTGTTTGTCACAGCTGGGTCAGGTTCTATCCCCCATTCACCTGTTTTCTGTTTGTCGCAGCTGGGCCAGGTTCTGTCCCCCATTCAACCCCGTTTGTAACCAGTCCCCGAGCAACCCCCTGCTCTGTTTGCACTTGGACATCCCCTCCTCTCTCTGTAATGCACCTGCCCTGGAGGGAAGGGAGGGATCCACTTTCTTAAAGGCCGGGGTGGGGAACCTCAGGCCCGGGGCTGGAAGTGGTCCCCGGCTTTTGTGGATCCAGCTCCTGGGGCTCAGGGCTCCCCCCAGAATTGGGGAGCCCATGTTGGTGCTCCAGCCCCTCTTCCACCCCATGTCAGGGCTGAAGCACACAAAATCTACCAGCCTGCACCCCGCTAGGTTCTGGTGTGTGAGGGGAATGAGGGGGGGGGGTCTTTCCCTTGCTCAGTCAGGGGTCACATCAGTGAGCAGTTGGGGGATTTTGCTTCTCTCTTTTGTGTGGGCCCCCAACTGATTTTTCTGTGGGTCAGCGACCTTGCCCCAGATGTGGGCTGCTGACTTTGGTGCATCCTACACCAGAGGGAGGAAACAGGACCCACTTCAGCACTTAATTCATTTCCAGGTGACAAGCCTTCGCTGGGGGGCCAATCCTGTGCTTCTGGCAAGAGCACCAAGCAGCATTTCTAACCGTATTTGCCACCCGTGCCCTGGGGTTAACAGACTGGTGACTTCAGCAGAACCCCTTGGGAATTAATTTTTCAGAGAGAGACCTGACGGGAATTTGTTTAGTTCATTCATGAATAGTGACAGAGAGCACCACGCCCTTGTGTGTGAGATGAACGTGGGACTGTCTTTCCCCTTGTGTAGTAGCGAGGAACTAGATCACCAGGTATCCCTGCTACAGAAACAGCTGGCTCAGACCTCCGAGGCTACAGGTCCACTGCAGCTCTTTTCCGGGATACGAGCAGTATCCCGGATAAGCAATGGTGCATCCAAGGAACGCGTCCTCATTTCTGAAAAAAAATTCGGAACAGTGAACTTGCTCTTTCACCATCCCTGCAAACCTCATTGTACGAGGAAGAAGGAGTGTGTCAAAAGAGGACATTTTTCTGTGATTGGATCCACCTCATCATCTCCAGCCTGATCCTGGCCTGCATATTTATACCTGCCTCTGGAAATTTCCACTACATGCATCTGACGAAGTGGGTCTTTGCCCACGAAAGCTTATGCTCCAACACTTCAGTTAGTCTATAAGGTGCCACAGGACTCCTCACCGCTCTTTCAAAAGAAAAGCAGAAAAAGATACAAAAATTGTGAACCGCAATTTGAGTATCTTTTGCCGACTTGTCTTCCTGGTCTAGACATAGCCTGAGTGTGAAAACCAAAGGGATCGGTTGATTCAGCAGCAAGTCGCTGAGTTTGCAGGTCTCCCAACTGGAGGGTTGAAAGAGTTAACACAGCGAGTGGCCGCAGCAGAACAAGATGCTGAGATAGAAGCAGTGGAGGTGCAGGAGTCTCAAGCCGCTGTGCGGCAGCTGTTAAAGGAGGCTTGTAATAAAATGGCAGGGCCTAGCAGGTATGGTGAGTGCCATAAGAACATAAGAATGGCCATACTGGCTGCATTCCATGGGGTCTGTGAGAGGTCAGATGCTGACTCTGAAAATGAGAGTTCTCCTCCGAAATACTCAGAGGGCACTTTGGGGGTGTGTCTAGACTACAGGGTTTTGTCGACAGATACTGTCGACAAAGCTTCTGTCGACAAAGAGCGTTTAGACTACATTCAGTTCTGTCGACAAAGCAAGCTGCTTTGTCGACATAACGGTGTGGACGAAAAGGACAGTTTAGATGCAATAATGCCTTCTATCGACAGAACTCTGTCGTTCTGTCGATAGAAGGCATTATTGCATCTACACTGTCCTTTGCATCCACACTGTTATGTCGACAAAGCAGCTTGCTTTGTCGACAGAACTGGATGTAGTCTAGATGCTCTTTGTCGACAGAAGCTTTGTTGACAGTATCTGTTGACAAAGCTTCTGTCGACAAAACCCTGTAGTCTAGACGTACCCTACAGTGTGCAATCCCATCTTCCGCTCTTGAGAAGATGAGCCTGAAGGAACGTACTGAGGGGTTTCTGTAGATATCAGTAGTCACTACAGTGTCCACATATGACCGAAACACACAGCCACCCTCCATTAAGCAGGAAACCAAGGTCTATACACCAGACCAAGCCCGAACCACGGGCAAGCATCCGTGGCCTTGTAATAAGAGTATAGTTTTTCATTGGTTAGCTCGAGTGTCAGTGGCCCCCAGTTTAACACATGAAGATTTTGTAACTATGTTGATAGAATGTATGACACCTGAAGAATTTACCTTATGAAGCCATGATGAATGATAATGTAAATCAAGTTGATCTATAAAGACATGTTGTTAAGGTATATTTTCCCCATGATAAAATTGTGGGAAAGGCATATTCAGAAAAAAGACCTTAACGAGCAACCTGAATGATATTTAAGATCGAAGAAATGCCTGGTTTTTTGTTAGTGGGTATGGGGCTGTCATGGCTCCTTCCCCACTCTGGCATGATAAATGCAAAAGGGGGGGCCTGGAAAAGTACCCTAAAACATTATCTTTCCAGGCTTTGGTATAAAACTTCCCCCCAAAATCTTAAAAACCTACATTTTGGGGATAAAATACATGGCTACCACCCAAGTAATGATAAAGAAACCAGGGAGAGATCGCTTGGCAAATCTCAGCCCCAAAAGTTAAAACCAGGATGAAAAAATTAACCAGTACCAGGTTAATTCGAAGAAAAGAAATAGAACTTGTATTATCACCATACTTCTTGTTGCAAGCATCATGACTAGATGGAAAAGTCACAAATTAATATACTCATGGGGGGAGCCTTACCAGGGGCCAAAAACCTTAATTACAAAGGAGAGGAAAACCCATTTTTAAATGCACAGACATGAGCTCCTATTTCCCAAACAATAAAACCTAACGGATTTATCTAAACTTTACCCTACTTACAGACCCTGAGGAGTCTATTCTTCAAGGGACAATTAGCGTCTGTTCCCCTCGCTAGCTGGAAAGAAAAAACTGCCTAGGCCCAAAGAAGGGAGAAACCAAACATTCCTTTCTCCTAGTTTGAAATTCCTACCTGCATTCCTATTGGCTAAATCTACCTAGCTTAGGTAAAAGGGCATAATTAACCCTTTAGTCCCCAGGCTGCTGGCTAACCCTCATGGTCATGTCAGGGGCGTGATATAGGGGGAATTGCAAACTATGACATTCTTGAATTGAGGAATTTGTATGTGCAGAGATTTAGCCCCAATATTAGATTAGCCTTAGGCCCTGGAAACACCAGGCATGTGAGCCTAAGGGAACTTGAAGCTCATGCCCGAGAAATTTATGACCTGCAACAATTAACTTGTCTCACCACCAGCACAAGCACCACAGGTGTTGCTACTCATGCCAACACACAGGGCTGGATTACCCAATAGGCAGGCTAAGCATGTGCTTAGGGCACCAGCAAAGCAGGGGTACCAAAAAAATGAGATTTTACGGTATAGTATTGTTTTAATTTTGAATTACATATGGGGGGCACCATAATCTTTTCAGAGCTTAGGGACTCTTAATCCGGCCCTGCCAACACAGCAGTAAAGAATCAAATAGCTGCCTTCAATAATAACAGAAATTTCAGGTTCCAGAGGGGTAGAAAGTTCAAGGAGAACCAGCCTCCCCCAGTACAGACAAGCTCTGACTGCGAGCAACTTCTAAACTTCTATGGTTTAGAAGTACAGGGGAGGAATGAAAATAAATGAAAATATTGCTAATAAGTTTAACTAAATATGTGTCATGGGAACAGCTATCAAAACAGAAGCTAACGGCTGAGGACATAGACTCATAGAACTCTAGAACCAGAAAGGGAGCTGGAGAGGTCATCAAGTCCAGTCCCCTGCCCTCACGGCAGGACCAATCGCCTTCTAGACCATCCCTGATAGATGTTTAGGAAACTGGCAGCCTGTGAAAGTGGCAACAACAGTAGTTCAGCAGAAATAGCAGCATCTACTAGCCATGTGGTCATCTCTGTGGGCAACAGACTTCGAAGGAGCTGAGGTTCCCAAGACCCCCGAGTGGTGGCCCCCATTGCAAATGAAGACTGGGGTCATCCCACCGTGAATCTAACTGTTCAGGGGAACTTCGGCACTATTAAGCAAAAAACTTTGGTGGACACGGGGTCCTCCACCAACTTATGTACCAGAGACAATTCGATATTAAGGAACATCCCCATTCAGGAAATCAGATCGCGTGTAGTCAACCTGTTGAACTCCTTGCCAGAGGAGGCTGTGAAGGCTAGGACTATAATAGAGTTTAAAGAGAAGCTAGATAATTTCATGGAGGTTAGGTCCATAAAAGGCTATTAGCCAGGGGATAAAATGGTGTCCTTGGCCTCTGTTTGTCAGAGGCTGGAGAGGGATGGCAGGAGACAAATCGCTTGATCATTGTCTTTGGTCCACCCTCTCTGGGGCACCTGGTGCTGGCCACTGTTGGCAGACATACTACTGGGCTAGATGGACCTTTGGTCTGACCCAGTACGGCCGTTCTTATGTTCTTATGTTCTAACATCACACAAAGGGAAACAGAGCTTAACACCATTTACCCAAGAACTCACAGGAGTCTTGGGCCCTTTGTCCATCCACAGATCCATGGGATTACAGGGTCTCGATGGATGTGGCATTCTGGGTATGGACCGCCTATCAACATGTAATGTTACAACAGACTTGCTAAGAAGCAGGGCTGAAGTTGGAGAAGCAGGGAGCATAATCCCAGCAGCCCATCAACTCAAAGCTGTAACAGCAGACTCTAATGGCGGGGTGATCCTCTGCTTCTGACAAGGACCCTGAGTAGCACTTAAGCCTTGTTTGCTACCTACGCCTGTGGGATAACAGGCTCCTGAAGGCCATTGTGTGATTTAACTCTCCAACAGTGCAACCTCCTCTGACTGTACCTCACTAGCATCACCTCTGCTCTGGACCCACCACACCGCGACTCACACTATTCCCCAGACAGCATCGACCTCTTCTGGACACAGCGCCCCACCCTGTTATCTTCCTCCTACTGGGAAACTGATCCTTCTTAGTCCTGCCAAGGTTCAGTCCCTGAGCTCAGGAGCAAAATACAGTTTGGATACCAGCCGCCCTCCTCATCTGCAAGTGTGGTGTAAAGGAGGGGACCCAGATCTTCCTGTTACTCTGTGTTGGGACTCAGAGATGCTATAGACATCAGCCACCGCCTGTCCCTTTTCCAACATTTCTCTTTTTCCTTGAGTCACTTCCCTAAAGCCAGAACCCGTTCTTTATACCCATATCAGGGCTTCGGTCTGTCAGTCAGGCTGCAGCTCCCTTTTGCTCCCGACCCACCCATCATGGCCACCCATCCAGGCAGCATTCCAGGGAGCACTGTGATCAGGAGCCCATCTTATATGGCCCAGCCTGGCCCTGATTGGCTGCTCCAT